ATTATGGTCGATCAATTCCATGTTGGTTGATTTGTCAAGCGATCCTGGAGCTATTTTCCATGGAAAAACAGTGCACTGTACTGATGTGCAGTTCTTAAACCATGAGTATCCCAAGTTAATGGGACAGTCCCCAAATTTAAGCGGCAATACTTCAGCTTTTATGATTGTTTTTATACATATTTAAAGTAGCACACTCCCTTAAAAGCTTTAGAAACACCCTTTTAAAGGAGCTTTTCCCCATCAGCACAGAACACCTAGTCACTTCAGGCATGAGCTACTCTCTGCAGAGAGAAAATTATTATAGTGCAGACACAATTTTGTAGTGCCAAAGTACTGGAGAGTCAGTGCCAGCAACTGCTGTACAATCCAAGTCAGTGGAGGAGAGAATGGCGGGGGACCCTTCATGGAGTTACTCGGATTCATAGTTAAGGCATGGAATAAATTCTTCCATCAGACTTTTAATTTACAGGCATAAGACAGCGCTGGGTGACCTCACTACACTGAGCCCTGGCATAAAGCCATCGACTCCACTGAAATTTCATCCCTGGGTCTGGCTCCAGCACCAGTGGCCAGATGATTTTCTGACTGGTGATATCTGTAGGAATTATTTTTGGAGTAAACAAACTCCGTATGTCAGGCTACAAGCAAATAGTGATTGGCGTTTGGAAGAGGTTTCCATTTGCAGGTATTAGTGCGGTGCTCCATAGCCGGCGAGTTGTGCTCCAGCATGTCTGGCTTTCCTGCAAGGAATAGTTGGGTATTTGGAATTCTGTGTTTTCCTGACCTCCCTAAGGCTGCAGGGTTCCGTGGGTTTGTGTGGGGTGCAGCAGGAAAGCAGGATCTGTTCTTCGGGAGCAGGGCTTGGTCTGATCCTGCCTTTCAAGAACTGAGTAAGAGGTTGATTAAACTTTAAAGCAGGTAGGTTTTACACAGATCAAGTTAAATGTTGTTTGCTGCTTCTAATATAGAAGCTGCTTCACAATCATGGTGGAGTTTAATCCATGTAGGACAGCTCAGAAGTCTGCACATTATTTTATAGCAATTCTGTCCATTTCTTTATCCCTTCTGCATTCCTTTTCCTGTGTACATGGTAAAACCAGCCTTCTCTGAAGTAAAATGTCAATGGTAAAAACGCAGGCATTCCCAATAGCACTTAGGTTGAAAGCCTGAACTGTAGCACTGCTCAAGTATCTTGCACTTTAGCAAATGTTTTAGAATATAAAGCTGAAATAAATAGTATTTTGGAAATCCCAAATTGAAAAAGTTTGGATAAGACCCTTTTGAAACCGAACTGTACCTGCCTGGTGTGGTAGTTAATAGCACAGTTATCTCAGGCCTTGTGCCCTCCTTTTGCCAGTCTTTTTCTGTGAAGAATACCAAAGACTAGATGCCAAAATAACATTTTTTATTAATTACAAAGAAGCTTGTTGACCACAGCAGGTTTCAAATGCAACTTCAGATGTTTCAGCACTGTAACAAGGTTCAGAATATCAGCAAGAGCTCTCACCACCAAATAGTTCTGTAAGCTGTCAGAAAATGCTGCTAAGATTCAGTTAAAATTAGCCCAGGGGCTGCCTGCCTGCCTGTCTGCCTGCCTCTTAATGACCTGGAGAATTTAGAGCTTGCTATTTTTTTTCATTTTTATTAGGCACGCTGGAAAAAGGGACAGCTGCTCATGAAACTAGATGGTGTGTTGGGTGGAAAAAAAAGTAGAGGTGACTACAGCGGGCTCAAGAGCGACAGAACCGAAGATAGTTTTTAAAAGTAATTCACAATGGGTAGAGAAGCAATTTTTAAGTACATCTTTTGTCTCAGTGTTCTGTCCCGAGAGGAACTGGGGTGCTTTTGTGAGCCCCCTTGGCCAGGGAAGGGGTAGCAGCTCCGCTCCAAGCAGCCTGGCACTGAAGTATGGACACTGAAGAAAACCAAGGTCTAGGAGCATATATAAAATATATGGAGCTCTATACCCCCTCCTAAGTCATTCACACTTCCCTTTCTCCAACATAACCCTTTGGAGAGGATGTGGTGGGAATGAGGGGAGGTGGAATTATAGAGCTAAAACTTGCCCCCTGAGTAAGAGCGCTGTGAATTCCTGATTATATCTGCAAGTTAGGATAGTAGTTAGATGTCTTTGAATTCCACATCCTCAATGTGTTCTTTTTCCCTAAGGTATCAGTGTCCTGGAAGTAGAGAGTTATGAATTGTAATGGTAAATGTCTCAGACTTATTCTAAAATCCTATGTCCAGGAAAAAAAAAAAAAAGGTGGTCTTTTTTCTTTTCCTTTTCCCTGCCTGTTGGTAATATACCATGTAAAATCTCTGTCTCTCGAAGGTTTTCAAACAATTGCATAAACTAAAATATTTTCAGGCTGTGATTCTTAGGTGAAAATCTGATTCTTGAGACATGGAATGTTAAGAAGAATCTGAAATTTTGAGAGGCTTCTAGTAAATCGTGGATATGTAGCAATATTCCTGCCTTGGGTGTAAGTTGTTACTGAAAGTGCATGGCTTGGGTTCATTTGTGAAGGACTTCCACTCTAACTGGCTGGTAGAAAAGTCAAAGATGAAACCACTGCATTTACCAGGTTCTTTCCTGGTGTCTACTCTGCAGATACGAGCTGGCACAATTTGCTGTCAATGCTATGGTACAACACATGCAATATACTTTTAGTGGAGCGTTTCAGTCTTTTATGGGTTAATTGGTTCCTAGCAGCAGGGATGCAGTTTATTGTTAATTTGGTTTTAGTCATAGTCCCGCCTGCCCAAGGGAGTTTAACATCCCGCTTTGTAACATATGCAGCATCTTTTGCAAAGCAGGAGATCTTAAGGCCTCTTAAAGGTGCTTAGACTTCCGCAGGACATGGTGCTGATCCAAAAAAGTTGTGGGTGGAGGACAAGGGACTCTGTACCTAGGGAAATACTGCAATAGCCCCAAACCTGTGACTCAATTTCAAGGCCATTTACAGTATAGATGCAGCACTGACACTCCTGCTTTTTGGTAGAATGCATCAAAGATGTCTTAGACGGATGGCAGGAACAGTCTGCATTCTCTTTGAGTGATTTTTTTTTTTACTATTTAGCATTTTTAAAATAATATTTTAATTCTATTAAATGTGAAAGTAAATTTGTAGAATATAGACTGCTTTACATGACTTGCTTTTCAAAGCAATGACGTGCTTTAATCAAAGAAAAAAAACTATTTTTACAGGTTATGCTTCAGTTTAATTCCATTTGGAGCATTGTAGTGTTACTCTTGAGGAAAAAAAAAAAAAAAGGCATGATTTCTGAACCTAGAAAGAAACAAATCACAAAACTCTGGCCAAGTTGTGCTGCAGTTGTTGGTAATGAAACAGCATCTGCTCAGTCCCAGCGCTTCGCTATCACTTTCCGATGTTTTTTTCTTTCTTTCTTTCTTGTTTCTGCCAAGGGGGTGGAGTTTGTGTCACCAAACCCTGAGGCGGGAGGTGGGGAAAGGGCTGCTCAGACAGCTGGAGCTTCGCATCCCCTTTCACAAGGTCTCACTGGGATCAGGCACTTTCCATTAGCCTCCCCTTGCGCAGCAGGTTCCTTCATCCTCCCCTCGTCCCACGCTACCGTTTGCTGCGTTGGGGACTTTATGTCTGTCTCGAGTGAGGCTGGACGCAGATCCCCATCCTCCTGCTCAATGCTGCAGATTTACCACCCTTGCAGGTGGAAGGACACAAACCTGACAGGAGATCGGGAAGCCCACGAGGCCCTCAGGACCTGAGATCCATGTGGCAGAAAGCGCTTGTTGCCTCTAGCATTGGATTCGAGTTTTGGGGGAAGGTGAAATAAATACTGGTCCCTGTCTAGAACTGTGCTTAAAGCAGATGCAAAACATGGCTGGAGAGTGAACAGGCTAAAATCCGTGCCTAAGGACATCCGTTTGAGAGAGACACAGTTGATTCGTAGGGAAAAGCCTGACTTATTTCATGCGGTTACTGTGGGAATAACCTAAAGGCCAAGGTGAAGGATGCACGTGCCTGGGGCTGTGCCGCACAACTGCTTTAACGTAAGCACACCGGGAGTATTTCCCTTCTGCCTGGCGCAATTCCATTCCACAGGCACGGATGTGCCTGCTCCAGCACCGGGAAAGACACGGAGCTGCTGAGCCAGCTCCATGGTGTGACCGCTCTGGCCAGACCATCCGATCGTTTTCTGTCACCTCGATCTCGTCCTTCGGGTCTGTGTTTTCCTCTGCGGGTAGACAAGAGTGATGAATTTTTTTTCATTGGCCTGCCTGTTCCCCAGGATTTGTGACTCTTTGGAAATGTTTTAAGTGTTTGTATCATGCAGAGGACTGCTGCCAAAACCTGAAAGTTTTGCAGGGATCTTCCGGAGCAGACATGCGCCAGCTTTAGCATGTGGGGGTTTAATCAGTAGTTATTAAGTTTCTGAAGCCTGTGCTTGTAGGAATCCTTTGGAGAGATTCCTGCATGTTCATTCTGGTGCTTCTAAGGCTGCCTTTTACTAGGTACCCTACGAACACCTAGCTAAGCCTAAGCGGGTTTGTGCTGAAATCCCGCACACGGGGCCTTTCCGGACACACAAGCTCATCATAGTCGGACACTAATTAACAGTGCCCTGGGCCTGCGCTAATTAACGGCGCCCTGGGCCTGCGGGCGCCGCCTGGGCGGCGCGGCCGGAGCCCTCGCCTAAAGGGCGGTTTTATCTGTAACTTAATCTGTCCTGCGGCCCCACGCGGGACGGCGGCCGCGCGGCGCGGCTCGCGGAGGCCGCAGGGGAGGCCGGGCCTCGTGGGCGGCCGCCCCGTGGGCCGGGCCGCGCCCGCCCCGTCCCCGGCCCCGTCCCCGCCCGGGAAGGAGGGAAGGAGGGAAGGAGGCGGCGGCGCCGCCGGAACCGCGCAAGTTTCGTGGCTGCGAGGCCGCGCTGCGGGCGCCGCTGCCGCCGCCATGGCCGCGCCGCGCCGGCCGCCGCGCTGAGCCGGGCCGGGCCGAGCCGGGCGAGGCCGGGGCGCCATGTGGGGCGGGCTGCAGCCCGCGGCGGGCGGCGGCCGCCAGGCGGGTAAGGAGACCCCGGCCGCCCCTTCCCTCCCGCGGAGCCCCCCGCTGTCCCTTCCCTTCCTTCCCTCTCTCCCTCCTTCGCTCCCTCCGTGCGCGGCGCGGCGCTGCCCGCGGAGGCGCCGCGCGGGACGTGGCGGGCGGCGCCGCCGCAGGCATCGCGCACGATCCCGTTTAATTTCCTTTCTTCGCTCCCCGCCCGCGCCGCCTAACGGGCGGCAGCCCCGCGCCGCGCGGCTCCGCGGTCCCCCGGGGCGCGGTGCGGCCGGGCCGGGCCCACGGGAGCGGGCGCCCTTCGGCTCCCCACTGCGCTCCCCACCGCGCACATTTCGGCTTGCTCCCCCCCGGCCGCTATTTTTATTACTATTAGTATTTTTTCCCACCCGTTTTTCCGGCCGGGCAGCGCCACGCGTGTGCGGGGGGCCCGTGGGGGCCCTGCCGGGCGCCGGGCATTCCCGGCTCCCGCGGGGCAGGACGGCGGGACGGGACGGGACGGGACGGGAAGGTTGGCAGCGCGTGGGCGCGAGCAGCGCTTCCCTGCGGGAAGGGCCGCGCTGCCCCGTTCGGGAGCCGCAGCCGGGTGACCCGAGCTGTGCTCGGCCCGGCCCTGGCACCTTCCTGCGGGTGCTCCGCGATCCCGACCCCGCGAGCCCGCAGCGGGTGATCGCAGACACGAGTCCAAAGCACCAGGGTGGGGATAAATCCCTGGCGCCCTCTCCGAGGCCGGGATTAGCGTTCCGGCGCCGGGAGCTGCTGTCGGAGGCGAGGGTGTCTTGCTGCGGCTGGCAGGGCTCGTCCTGCAGGAGCTGCGCGGCCGTCCCCGCAGCTGCGGAGCTCCACGAACAGCCTCGTGCCCCTTCCCCGCGGCGTGAAGGGAGCCACTGTCCCTTTCTCTGCTGTCGTGAAGTTATCGTTGCTTTATGTAACGCGTGTGAGGTTTGCGTGGCTGAAGGAGGCTTTTTTTTGTGTGTTTTTGTCTTTTAATACATCTCTTCGGAGCTTTGGAGGAGGCATCAGCTCCGTGCTGCAACTCGGGAAGACGTGTGTTTTGGGGCGCAGATTTTAATGGATAGAATGGAAAAGGCAGGGAATCGGGATGTCTGATTCCTGATCACTTTGTTTGAAGCAGGAATGCAGGAACATGCGCTGTGTGTACGTGGTGCAGGCGTGTGCTGGGGGCTGCTGCATTCGCTGTGTTCGGGCTGCGCTGGAGATGGGCACCGGCTTTTCCCTCTGCTTCCCAGAACTAACTTGGCTGCCCTGGTTTTGCTCAGGGTGCTCTGGCTGACGCCGTGCACCGTCTGTCAGCGCTGCTACCTCAGCCCCTTCCTGGGCGCCGCTCTTACTTTTGCTGGTTTGCTGCGATTTATTTCTCAAAGTTGGCTGCAAGTTCCGAAATACCGTTTTGCTTGTAGTTTTTCAATTTCCGTATCCCTTCTTCCCTTCCGGTAGTCAGAGTTAATAAGTTCAAAACACATTTACAGAGTTAGGCTGAAGAAGCACTGTAAAGCAGCGAGACTTTTGTGTTCAGCGTGCGCCTGGAGGCGAGGTGGGCAGGCAGGAGGCATTAGTGGGCATAAGTTAGGCAGCCGGAGGGGCTGTTTAATGCCGAGGTTGGGTTTGTGCCCAGGGAAGCGCCGGAGCTTCCAGGGCTGAGTGTGACCCAGGCGAGCGTCACAGGGGGCTCCGCGGCGGCGCTGCCGGAGCGGCCGGAGGCGCCGGCCCGGCCTCTGTGCGTACGTAGTGGTTCCTAAGCCTTGACCAAGCCTGTATATGAGCGGCTCTGGATACCCGAGCTTCGAGCCGTTCCCGTTACAGGGCTGGATGCTGGAGTGGCCTCTGCTGTCCGGCCGCGCTGGAGAGCAGCGGCAGGCTGGCCTTGAGAGGGAGCTGGGGGCACTCGCTTACCTCCCTCCAAAACCATTACCTATTTTATCTCTTCTCTCCCTCTAGGCAAGTAATTCTTAATAATATAATATCTGCTCACTTAACATGTACAAAACGTGGATGTCTTGCCTGTTTACACAGACTCATGCGATGGCTGAGGCAGGAAGGGACCTCTGGAGATCACGTAGTGCAGCCCCTGCCTGTTTGCAGCTCTGAAGCTGTAGGAGGGCATTGCCCTGTGCATTGGGGAGAGCAGCAGCACTGATCCCTTGCCTAGTACCTACAGTAAAGGTGCACTGATTAGACTGCTGCTCTTTGTAATTGTATGTTTTTTTTTTAATGGTATGTTGTATTTTTTTTAATTAGAGGGTAGTAGTGAGTTGTGTGGAAGAAGCTACGTGGTGCAAGGTGGCCCGGAGCCACCGTAGGAGATGGTGGTGAAGAAGTGCCATTGGTGGCAAGAGAAACTGTCAGTTCTTGGAATAACGGTTGGGATTTATGTCCACCGGCTACTGGTTGTTGCTGAAACTTTAGCAACAGGCGGTTAATGACTTCCTTGTTATTAACCTTCTGGAGCACGGAGGAGGTGACAAACAGGGTAACAGGGCAGGAGGAGCCGGGTGGAAGGGGCTGAGGTGGTGGCAGGAGATGGGTCTGGGCCGCTGCCTGCCTGTTGTGGACGGTCCCTAAGGGAAAGGGGAGCGCTCGCGTGTCCAGTGTCAGCTGCTCTGCCCGCCGTGCCCCTCGGGTCCGCTCTCTGTCGCATGAGTTGCCCGGTGTTCAGTATTGGGGTGGTTGGAGCTCGAGCGGAGCCGCCTGGTCCTGCCGGCCGGCGGTGAAGGGCACGGCGCCCGGCGGCTTCGTCCGCTGGCGCACGAAGGGGCCTGGGGGATAAAACACCACAGGGCTGTAGCTCCCTGTGAAATCTGTTCAGGGTCTCTGCTCTGTGCTGCAGGAAGAGACGTTTTCGTTGTCTTCTGGGCCTTTCCAGGGGAGAAAGTCTTCCTGTTTTGTGTGTTTCTTTTGGTAGGCCTGGGATAATGCTGTAAGTAGCTGGGAAACTTACTTGTGCGAACAGTAATGAAAGCAGGAGAGGGTGTGTTGAAGTGTGCCAAGATGCTTGTTTCCACCTTTGCATCCTGTTTTTGGAGCATCCCGGTGCGCGGGAGGAGCCGAGGCGGCTCGAAGCGTGGCTGGCAGGCAGCGCCGGCTCTAGGCCTGTGTTTCTGCCGGCTCTCCCCTCGCTCCTGCTGAAGGTGCTGGCTCCATGGAGCTGCCCGCGAGCCCCGAGCACGCCCAGGCCGGCACACGGGCCTTGGCTGCCTGAGTCGGACAGGGCCGGGAGGAAGCGGCGCTCCTTGCGGATCACTGAGGGCCGCGGCAGGAGAGGCAGGACGCGGTGATGCCGAGTGCCCTTGGCTGGGCAGGGACAGCGCGGCCCTGCGGCGCAGCCGGCGTCGCCAGCGAGGGGGGAGGCGCACCGAGCCCCTTATGCCCAAAATCCCGGGAAAAGGCCTGCGGCAGGTGAGGCTGTTGTCACATTCAGCTTCCCGGTGAGTTAGAGACCCATGGTGCGCTATTGGGAAAAGAAGCATTCTTGAAACATTCCTGAATCCTTCTGGAGCCAGGTCTGGGATTCCTTATAAGGTAGCCTTACGTTTCAAGCCTGCTTTATTCTTTTGACAGCATAGTTTCCAGATGGTGTGGGGACGTTGCAACTCCTAAAAGCGTTTCAGAACAAATAAGACTTTATTTCGAGCCCTGCTTTCATTACGAGATGGTATCTCCTCCTGAAAGGCTGCTCTGCAGCAGAGCTATTACGTGTGGGGGCAGCTCTGAACCCTTCTGGATTCTCTTAATGCGTGAGGCTTCGTACAAAGTGCTGTGACTAACACTTAGGAAAGGTTGGATGGTTCTGTGGGCGATGAGAAAACCAACCAGGGTATAGTGACCTAGAAACGCTAAAAGGCTTTGAAAATGCCATTTTATTTGATACTTTTGCTAGTGCTTTTATGGAAAGTGAAGCTAACAGCTGGGATCTTGATCTATTTCTGTTCATTGTTATCCTAAAACTGCCTTGATCAAAGAAGGGCAGTAGAATGGTTATTGGATAAGTTTTACATCAAATCTAGTTGCAGTTGTGTAGATGGAAACACTTAAATTACTGGTTTTGGCTGGAAGTATCCTAGGTAGGGTGGGATCTAGGATAGAGGGGATAACATGCAGAATATATATGTATAAAAAATATATACATACATATATCTAGTACTGCTTTTCCTTATCCCTTCTTAATTGCACAGTGTCCTCCTTGTTTATATAGGCTAGGTGTTGGTGGGAGGAGGAACTGCCAAACAGAGAGGAGCTGAGCTTGGAGAGAAGTTGTGCCCTGTGGCATAGGCATTGTGAGGAAAATCTCCTAATGACTTAAGTGAAGTGGGATTTCATCCTTTTAACCCAAATACAACAATGGGACAGCTCCCCTGTGTGTTGTACAGGCTTCTGTAAGAGCGATTTTCATACAGCCTGGAGGCTCTGTCTGCCTCTGGTTCACCCACATCAAAGCAGATCCCGTGGTGCACATCTAATGCACGTTAGACCCCTCTGAAAAATGATGGACAAACTCGGTCGCTGTTATGTTTGAGCAAAATATTTTAGTGATAGGACTTCTTTGTCTGCTTAGTGTCTGTCTCTTATTGTGTTAAGGATATTTTTAGATCTGCTTGCAAGGAGAAGGGAGATGCTAAAGCTGTTTTTTGAGGGGAAAAAAAATCAGGATGCCAGAGTCCTCTCCGTGATTCCCTTAGGTAAGTGTGGGAGTTGCATAAAGCCCCTGGAAGTGTCTGTGCCTCTTGGGCTGTGGCGCTCCCCTCCCCGTGCCCGGTACAGAGGTGACGGGAACGGCTGCTTGGCCGGGAAGAGGGAGCGCCAGGAGGAGGGGGTCTCCGGCTGCGCGCGCCCTTCGGAGCAGCGTGGAGCCCTGTGGAGCTGGGAGCGGCGGGAGGCACCCGTATGGAGCCCATATCCTGTGCAGGAGAGGGAGACATGTGGGACAGAGCGTGGGGAGGCTCTGGGTACCCGGACACAGCCTGCGGAGCTGCAGGGAGCTCTGCTGAGGGATTGCTCCGCTGGCCACTTCTGTGGGAGGGGAAAAACGTTTAACTTGGTTAAGCGTTGCTGGAGACAAAATAAATTGGAGATTTGGTGACACAATCCAATTAAAATTTAGCTCTTGCGAGAAATTAGGGCATGAGTTTATGCTCCTTAAAATAACCACCCTAATCAACTTATCTTAATTGATACTGCCACTCAGGAGTATGTTTACTTGGAGGATTTTCTTCTTTGGGTTTCTCTTCTACTTTCATTTCCCCCCTCTTTTTATTTATTTATCTTTAATCTTTCTCCCTTTGTATGTAATTTGGGCTGCTCTTTCACAGCTGAGCAGAGTGCTAAAGGAGAATGACACCAACAGATGAATTCTTTTACAGCTGGAGAGGATAAAACACGAGTATGGTCCTCTAGCTGGTGGTATATTTTCAGGCTGTGAAAGTAGAGAAGCAGGTAAACGAAGACCTGTCAATATTCAATATTTTTGCCCTTAAGCATGAGGGAACTCAGCATATCTGTGGTTTTTATCTCTCTCCATGTGTGATTGCTTTAACTGGGCTGAAAAGCTGGAAGAGTCTAGTTATAGAGCAAGCTTGAAAGGCAAGGTAAGGAGAGCGCGATAGTAAGGGCAGGGTGCCCGGGATGGATCATAGCTCATCAAAAGGACCTTGCAAAGCGCTCTGGAAAAGCTGCAGCACCTGAACCCGCAGGCAGGGCCCTCGCTGCCTGTCCCATGGTCCTGGTCACGCTTCTCCTTCCCGCTCCTCCCGCGTGCGGGCCTTTTTTCCTCCCCTTTTTTTTGTTTCCTCACTTAAATATGTCAAGATAAGGCATCTATTCTGCATACCTTTTGGGGAATTCTCCCCATCTTCCCCCTTTTAAATTCTCCTGCCTCCTTTTTCTCCCTTTTCCTTCTCTCATGTGCTCTTGCCAGCGATGGAAAAAGATCAGACACTTGTTGGCAGCGAGTTGTCAGGCACGAGACACGGCAGGGAGGTTTCCTCCAGCCTTGCAGTGATACTGATCCCATAGCTATGAAAGGGGGATGTGAACATCTCCAGCTGAACCAACTTTGTTGTTTTCAACTTCTGTTTGCACTTGCTATTCCTATTAACAAACAGTTGTTAGCAAACAGTTGGGTGAGGGGCCCTTTGTGCTGGTAACCTTTTCTTTTTAGGATGATGTGTGGTTACTTAGCCCTGTGGGACAGAGAGTGCAAAGAGGGAGTTAACTGCCTGCAAAATGTCAAAGGCCCTTTGAAAATCGAGAAAATTGCAATTGGGCATAAAATTCCTGACTTTAACTGGATTGTTACCGGATTTAACTGCCCTTGATTGGTGGATTTGCCCTTGTCTCTACTAGTTCTTGTTTATTTTGCTTTGTCTTTATTCTTCTGGTGGATGTGTTTGCTTTGAATGAGGGATGCCAAGAGCAAGTCTAGGGCTGTGGATCCTGATGGTCCCTTTCCGTGGGGCAGCCTCTGTGTTGGCTGTGGACCTGGGCGGTCAGACCTGCACTCACCCGGGTCTGCTCAAGGTCCCTTCGTGTGCTTTGGAAACTCCCATTGCGGAGGTTTGAGAATGCCAGGCGACTGCTGGAGTGGGAGCAAGGGAGTGGGTGAAAATGGAGGGACTTCCTCTGAATACCATCCTATGAACATCTTCCAGCGTGAGGTTTTTTTTGGTCTGCTTTTTCTTTGTGTTGTTTTGTTTGTTCCTTTCCCTCAGTCATCCCCAGTGCAAGCTCTGTTTAGAGCAATATTTTGTGATCAGGTGGGCTTTTGTGATCATTAATGGGCTTGCTTTTTTATTTTGTGGATTTGTGTTTGGTGATGGGCTGCTGTTTGGTAGATGTATTTTGGTTTGCTCTTGTGGAGAGCAATCCTTCTGGAAGAAGGGTCGGTTTGGAGCAGAGAGGAGGGGTGTCCTGCACTTGCCATGTGAAAGTGTATGGGTATCTTCTGGCATGACTTCGTGTCACAGCCTTTCCCATGCATTTGGATGATCTTTGGATCAAAAAAATAGTGTCTTGTAAGACGGTGCATGGAAAATGATCTAGCATCTTTCCTTTGAAGGGGGCTGTGAAGTGGTTAGAGTCTTTTGGGACCATCATGGTGCCCCATGTTGCTTAAATGGTCAGGAGAACTTTGATTTATTGAAAACAAGTTGCTGATGGTGTGGGTGAAATGGGTGATTTTGAGCGGTGTGTTTGGGCTGAAATGGTCATTTTCCACCCTCCAAAGAGTTTTGGGCAGCCTGCAGGGCCATCAGGGCACGGACCATCCTTGTGCAGCAGCCCAGTCTCCTTCATGGTGACCAGAAGGGTGTCAGAAGGATATTAAGGTTATCGGAAGGATAATAAGAGCTGTCAGCTCTGATAATCCTGCAGCAAGACCTCACCTTCAGAGTCCTCTGCAGTATCAGTTTCCCCGGTCTCCTCCTGGCCACAACGGGTGTCAAAATCCCGGTGCGGAAGAGAAGAAATAGTGACCTTGGGTAAGGAGGTGTCTGCCGTGAAAGCCAGTGAAGTCCTCGGCTCTTTATCCAGCATCTGGGTAGATTAACGTCACCTTAGCTGTTCCATGCGAAGACAGGTTTTGCATTCAAGGACGTGACACTTGGTTCCTAAAACGCCTCTGAAGAGGTGGGTGGTCATTTTGGGTGGATGGATCCCAGGAGGTGCCCGCGCTGCTGCCGTCGGCCGCGCGGGAAGGGGCGGCCTCCGCGGGGGAGGCAGCGGCTGCTCCCGGGGTGTCCGTGTGCCCGGGGCCGCCGTCTCCCGGAGCCTGGCTGCTCTGCTGCACATGCCGAGGCTGTGGGCACAGCAGCCCCTTGGGGCCTTGAGCTGGTCACGTTGGGGCGTTCAGTGAACAGGGGCCCTCTGGGTTTGTTTCGGATCCGGCGTGGCTGCACCTTGTCACTCTTGCGTCTGGAAATAGGAGTTTATGTGTAACATATACACACGTGTGCATTTTATATCTATCTTGTGTATATATAATATAACTTTTTTTAAAAAAAGAGGTGCCCCATTTAGCAGCAGGGTCCCTAGATCTGCCAGCCGGGGTGAGCCCGGCTGCCCCTCAGGCCTCTCTGAAGCTCGAGGTGCTGCTGCACCGCGTGCCCTGCCTGGTGACGGCGGGACGGGACGGTGGGAGCGCCTGCCCCTGCCCTGCCAGCCCTCGGGGGCTATGGCCTGGGGTGGGCGCTGCCTAAAAGCCTTCAAACGGCCTAAAAATATCCGTGTGTAGCACAAGAGCCCTCGGTGTGACCCGGTGCCTCAGCATGAGTCACTTCCCGCCGCGGGGGCCGGGCGCTCCGGCACAGCCGGCACAGGCTGCACCTTCTGGGCCGGGGCACCGGCGCTGCGCTCCGTACCCCTCTGCAAGCAGTGCTCAGGTTCAGATATTTGCTGTAAAATCTCTTGGTGGTCCTCTGGAGTCACAGTCTCGCTGCTTTCGTTTGTTCTTTGACTATGAAATAGGCAACATATTCTCAAGACAGGCTTGAATGGCAGAGCTGTTTGCTTACATGGGTTGTGCTTTGGAAGTGAATCTTTTAGCTGCAGTTGAAACAAAATCAAAATAACAGAAGCAAACCAGTGGGTTTATGGATATCGCGGAAGGACAGCCCGTGTGTGCTGCTTGAGCTGCGAGCCCCGCTCTGATGACGTGGATATCTGAAGCCGGTCCCTGATTTCCAGTGCTACCAAAGCATTTTTCTGTTAAATCACACAGCCCAGATGATAAAATAGTAGTTATGTGTAGTTCGAAATGACTGCATTTTTATTCCAGCAGCAAAGTCCCAGCTGGTTTCTGTTCCCTAAACTCCTCTGCGTGGAGTCGTGTGTTTCCAAAGCAAAATCCTGCTGTGCCTTTAGAATTGCTCTTACGATAGGAAACGTGTGGCAAATAAATCAGTAAAGTGAGTGCAGGAACCGTTTAGGGCTCGTGTTTTTAAATAATGACATGTAAATGGTTGAGAAACTGGGTCCTGCCTAGAAACTGTACCCTACCAGTGCAGAGCCGGGCTCAGAGTCGAGCTTTCGCTGTGCTGATGACCCCTGCTTTGCATCCGTCATGACCCACTTGTGGCTTCCCTCTGTGCAGGCCCGGATCCGTGTCCCGTGGGATGGTTCCCTGGCGCTGAGGCCCTGTGGCAGCCGCCGAGCGGCCCCGGCAGGAGGCTCAGCGTGGCCTCCGACAGCGGCGACACCGGCATCGGCACCTCCTGCTCCGACAGCCTGGAAGGTGAGCGGCGTCCCTCGCGTCTCGGGCCCCCCGTGGCACCCAGAGGGGTGTCCCCCAAATGCCCGTGCCCTTTTGCAGCTGGTGGGGCGTGTGGATACATATACAGCTCTTGCATTTCCATGGTGGTCCCACGGCCTTGCCGTGGTAAGAGGGCACTGCCTTTCCTCTGTGGGGTTGTGTTCGATAACTTGCATCTCTGCCCTGGGCTGCTGCTACTGGCAATTGCTCTGTGGGGAAGTAAGTGGGAAGTGGGGAAGTTCCTAGGCCTCTTGATAACCGATGGGAAAGAGTGGCAGACGTTGGAAGGGAGTTGAGAAAGGGCTTGACAAGGCTCTCTGGTATGGCTTGTGTGTGACAGCACCGAGAGCCTGCTGACTCATGGGCCTGTGCTCAACAGGGGGACGTTCCTCTCATTTCTTAGTCACTTCTGCTGAGAAACATGCGTGTGTTCGTTGGATGGATTTGGGCTGATAGTCAAGGATCTATAGTCTAAATAAACAGTATCTAAGGTTTGTTAAAACCCTGGATAAAAGCATGATTGCATAAAGTTGCTCTTGTCAGGGAAGGATTTGGCCCCTATGGTGGCAGTGTCTCTATAACAGTGCCGCCCTCCCTGTAGCTGGCGGTGGTTGTACTTAATGGGAAACAAAGCAGGAAAAAGCCTCCAAATTGGCTTCCTGTCCCAGCCTAACTTCCTGATAATGTTTTTCAAGAGTTAAGGTAGTGACAGTGGGACTACAGTGGGCTTTGCTCCAGGGCCTGTCTGTACTGGGCGATTTTTGCAAGAAGAACCCTGGGTAGCTGCAATTAGGGAGAACACGGATTTGTGAAAGCGGATTAAGGGATCCTGAATCTGTGTAAGAGGCGGAAGCATCTGCAGGAAACCCAGGCTTTCCCAGGATCAGTGTGAATCTGTCAGTTAAGTCTCTTGGAGCCCTGTGCAGATTTGGGGAGCCTTTCTACCCCAGTTACCTCTGACACTGGAAGGTGCCTCTGGAGGAGAATCCTCCCGGCTTCCCTGGGTTGGTCTTCATTTTTAAACCTTCACTAGCTCTGGCAAAATAAAGGTTTTACTCAAATTGTTCGTCAAACTGATACATTAGGTTATTATTCAGAAAGGAAATCTTAGAAGTATCTTTATGGATATAGGACAGAATAGAGCTGTCTCACGGACACAACATGTATATGTATAAGCTGACTCACCCAAGTATTTTAGAATAGTTTTAAGATGCAGCATTTGCATAAAAACATTGCTTTTTTTCTTGAGGGCTTCCCTGTTTGAGGGGTGGGAGGAAGGAGTGGGAACGAAACAGCACCTCTTCCTGAGAGGAGGAGGAGGAGGAGGAGGATTATGATGTGGCTGAAGAGGAGAGCAGAACAACAGTTACAGCAGTAACCCTGACGTGTGCTCGTTACTCAGGTGTTGCCTGTTGACTAATAGTGCTGTCCCTTTGCAGACCTCTAATGGAGTGTTCTTACAAGCAGCTTTTGAAGTTCCTCACCAGATGATATAATAAAAAAAAAAAAGAGGGAAAAATTGCTGCGTCTTGTACACTGATTTTGTGCATCTGGCAGTACTTAGGCTGTAATAAGCAATGTTACTGTGCCCGTAATCTCATCAGTTTCCCGCAGCCGTGTTTGGAAACTTACAACACCAGAAAGTAAAATATTAAGGACAAAACAGACGGAAGCGTAAGTGCAAAATGGGGTGTGTGACAGATGTGGAAACTGAGTGCACGTGCATTTTCAACATCAATGCTGTTGCCTGAGACACCTAGTTGGCTGCATCTCAAGCCTCCCTCCTCACCCTCCCTGAAGAGAAAAACCCCTTGGGAATTCCGTGGGGATGCCAGACCAGATCTGCAGCTGCAGACTTGCTGCTGGCCCTGTGCGTCCAGGGTGGGCCTGGGGAAGGAGCCCCCAGGGGCGTCCTTGTTCACAAGTCAGCAGGTCACTGCGAGCTCCAGCAGTGCTCCGAGGGCTTCCGAGCTCGCCAAGCTTCCAAAGCTGAGCTGCAAGGCTAAACTGGACCTCTTGCAATGTTGTAAATTGCAGCTCAGTTCCCTTGTGCACATGGGTAGTTACTACTAAATACATTAGTGCACAATAAACACATTTTAAGTCAGTTTTCACTGGTTTCTTTAAATCCTTTCCCAGCTCATACTTCATTTTGAGTGTCTATTCTCTGCAGTTGTACCAGTGCCGGGTGGCTTCTGTGCTGGGCTAAAACTGCCGTGATTGTGAGGGGAGAAGGGTTTGGACAAAGCCAATAAGAGGAGGAGAATTCTCCTCTTTTAAGGAGAATAGGAAGAGGAGTCTCCTGCGTTGCCATGTGTTTCATTGGCTTTGTGCCAAGGTAGGAACGTGGGGAAGCGGCCGCTCGGGGGCTTCCTGCCTGAAGCTGCGGGTGAGAGCCGGGGCAGGGAGGTGCCGCCCGGGAGGGAAACCTGGAAAGCCTGAATGGGGGAGCCTTGGTTTGTGTGCGATAGACCTTGTACTCCCGGTTAGTGTGCCCTTAACGTAAGGGTTCGTGTAAGGGTTGGTGATTTATCTTCGTGTGAAGCACTGCTAATGTGTTTGCTCTGTTCCCCCTTTCTTGGTGAAAAATGTTGAGGCTGGAAAACATTGTCACAGGATCTTGTGTCTTGTCTCTGTGCAACTTGAAAGTTTTTCAAATTCGAAACTTTTCAACTTTCGGATGAAAAGTTTCCAATGAAGCAGGTTTCAGAAAATACCTGAATTCTTTTCATACAGGAAACTTGATGGCCCACTTGTGAATTGCAATTCTTGTACTTTTCTGATCACTTAGAGCGTACATGCAGACATTCCAGGTTGAAGTGCTTCCATTCCCCTTTTAAATGTGTATTTTGTCCCCCCCCCCCCCAAAAAAAAAAAGTGATGGTGCATGGAGGTGCACAGCGCACTCTCAGAAGGCAGTTGGGCTTTGCCTGCTGTGGCAGCGGTGCCGGCCACTCTGGATGTGTCAGGGCCCAAAGAAGCTCCAAGCCTGAAACTTGAGGCATTTTCAGTCTTTTTATTTATTTATTTTCCCCAGGGATTTAATCTGTGAATCCAGGGCTCATTGGGAATAAAATGGGCTGCAGCGTTCATCAAAGCTCTTTGCCAACAGCAGAGCCTGGTTTCAACCTTGTGGCCGCGAGGGGAACGAAGTAGACACTGGTGAAGCCACACGGGGGCCCAGGGCTCTGGCGGGCTGAGACACTCTTCCCTGGCAGCCAAACGTCTTTTGCTGCAGAGAGATCTTGTTCCTCTGCTTGTATCCTCTGCTCTTTTAGTAAATGTGGTTCTTGGTCTGTGAGTTCTGCTCACGAAGGAATGGGCACGAGACTTGCCCAAGGTTGGGCTGTGCTGGCCCATACTGGATCTGATGCAGACGACACCTTGTCCTTGGGGCATCTGCTCTTCTTCCACTCAGCTTTAGCTTGTTAAGCCCTGCAGGAGCACTGGGTGAAAGCAGTTGAGTAGGCCTGCCCTTTGTCACGTGGAAATGTGAATAAATGTGGTCTGGTAACAGTTTAAGACCTTGTTCCGTACGTCATATATAGGGGTTGCCTTGGGGAGAGGACTTCGACTAGCGGTGGGCTTGATGCCGCGTTTGTGATCTATTGCTCTGCATAGATGTGACTCCCCTCGAGTTTTGAAATGATAGAGAAGGAAATGGTTTTAATGTTACGAGACCCACAGGATTCTCCTGTTTCTCGTTTTGGGCTGAATTTGCTACCTTTCAAACTTATTAAACCTAATTAATTCGGTTTTAATTGCAGTGTTTCAATTTCTTGTACCAGGGAGCAAGATGTAGCCAACTAGCAAGTTATTTTATCCTGCTGTTCCAGACCTTGCTCCTGGAGCAGCTCCTCTGTGTTGGTGGGGCAGGTGTTGCCTGTCCCGGCCGGCTGTTGGGAAAAGCAGGAGCATGAGGATCCTGGTCCCGGGGAGCCAGCACGTGCCTGTCCTTGCCCACAGCCCCCTGGGTTTGGTGGCTTTGGGACATGCTCAGCTTGAGCTTGAAAACAACCCCTTGTGTTTGTTCTGAATGGAAATAATGAAAATAAAATGTGCTTGCTCGGAATATGGCAGTATATAGTATTATATATGCAGAAATTTATGTCCATCGTAAGCGCTCTGGAAACTTGAGCAGCCCTTTGAACAAGGCGAATGTGCTTCAGATGGTGGCTAAGTATAAGGGTGTGTGAGAAGTTAATGCACTAAATATGGGCACACAGCACATGCTGAGATGGAGGGTGATGGTGCCCTTGGAAAAGCTGACTGTAATGTGGCCTTGAGACACTTAGAAGTGTCCTGAATAATTGCATTACAACTGAAAATGTGGTGTTTGGTGATCAAAGTGCTGGCAGAGCCATGAGTTCAGCCGCAGCTGTTGGACAAGAGGGCTCTGGCTCCGAATCCGTGCGGATTAAGCGTCTCCATTCCAGGAGTGGAGCTGGTGAGTGTCCCCTCCCTACTCCCACTGCCCCGTGAAAGTGAGGTCTTGCTTCACAGAAGGGAAATAAGGGGGATTTTTCCTTCTGGGGATGTCCCTCTTTCCTGCCTCCCCAGCCTCCCTCGATCAATTTTTTCTTCACAGTGAAGAAGGGAATGATGGAATATTCCTTCATGTGTCCGGCACGGGGAGTCACTCCAAGGTCTCGTCCGTACGGAGGCTTCAGGCGTTACAAGGCCTGGCCTGGGGAGCAGGGCAACCCTGAGCAGAGAACGGCGTGGTGGGCTTTGCACATGCAAACCAACCCACCACGTGGAGCAATCCCTGGGCCTTCCTTAGTGCTTCTGGAGCACAGCAGGAGTGGGATTAGAGATCAGCTCCGGAGAACCGCCCGGCAGGAAGACTCTGAGCCTTGAACAACCCCTGTGGGAAATCTGGAGGGCTACAGTGCTGCTGCACGGGCTCCAATGTCTGTCTTTAAATAAAACTGAGCAGTGTTTGCAGCCTTTTGCGTGAGAAACATCCCGTGGCTCCCTCT